CGATATCGATAAATACGAGATCGAAGTTAAGTTAGTAAAATACTTAGGATTTATAATCGACGCGAAATAAGGCGTATAAATAGACCTAATAAAGGTTATCGTAATCTAAAAATAGTAAGTATTTAAATCTATTAAGGACGTCTAGAGTTTTATCGATTTCGTAAACTTCTATCGAAAGTTTATTAAGAGTTTCTCGAAAATAATCTTACTAATTATAAAACTCGTACGAAAGAATTCGACTTTCTATTAGAATTCGAAAGTCGATATAGTATTCGTACGACTAAAGAAGATATTTATAATAGCTTCGATTCTCGCTCTATTTAATTATATAAAAGAAATATTCCTAGAAGTTAATACTTCTAAATAGTATATAGGCGGTATCTTATTCTAGGTAGGAAAAGACGGTTTCGTACGACTCTATATATTCTTTTTAAAAAAGAACTTATTCGCGGAATATAACTACGAAATATACGATAAAGAAATACTAACTATTATACGTTACCTTAAAGAATAGAACGCTAAGTTAAAGAGCGTAAATAAGTTCGAGATATAATTAAATTATAAAAATCTAAAATACTTTATAATCGTACGAAAGCTTACGAAGAAGTAAATATAATAGTTTCTTATCCTCTTACGATATAACTTTATAATCTTCTACCTTAAGGAAAAGAATAATATATAGGCTAACGCGCTATCGCGAAGAGAATAAAATATATCGAAAGAAAAGAAGAACGATCGACTATAGTATCGTACGATAAAACTACTAAAGTCGGAATTTTTCGACGCGAAAGGAGCGATTTAAGTAGCTTTCGTACGAGTAGAAGAATCTTCTATCGAAGACTAACTAATAAATAATATAGTTAATACTAATTAGTTTACGGTAGTAGAGTCGAACGAAATATACGAGTAGATTAGAAATTTAATTACTCGAGGAGTACTAAAGTTTCTATCTTTTCTAGTAGTAAAAGTATCTATCGCTAAGTATATAATTAATAGCTAAGGAAATATACGCTTCTATAGAAGACTATAGATTTCGAACTTAGAATCTTTATATATATTTCTAATTTAGGAAATCTACGACTTAGTAATTAGTAGATACTTTAAACGAAAGATAACGAGCTTCTTAATAGTAAGATAATTCTTCTAGCCGAATATACTATAGAATATTCGATAATTCGTACGAAACTACGATATCTACGGACGAATAAAAGCCTAGAGGAAAAGGAAATAAGAATTCCTAAAACTTCTTTTCGTATCGAACTAAATATAGAGCGAAATATCTATCGACTTTATTACGAAGCTCCTAGAAAGTCGGAGCTATATAAATTTAGCGATAATTATAAATCGACTAGGAAAAGGAGTTATTCTTAAATCGATACGTACGATTAAGTCTTAAGATATAGTATTTCTATTTCTATATACGTTCTATAGAACCTACGATTTATCGAGAGCTATTATATCGAATAGAGGAACCTAGTTTATAAGCGCTCTATAGAAACGAGTATATTAGCTACTAGGTATTATACGTCGATTATTTACTATATATTATCTTAAAACGAACGAATCTATAGAATAAATAAATTAGACGATCGAGACGTACGTACGTACGTTCGTAAACGAAGATTAAGATAATTAGGTAGAATTACTACTAATCGCTAAGTTAGTAATTAATAATAGAAATATTTAATCGACTAGCGTAAGCCCTTTCTTCCTATCTTATAAATATAATATCGACTTTATATAACTATAAAATAAACTCCGCGAAGATAAAGGAGGAAATAGTTTAATACGATAAGGTAAAGAAATCGTACGAAAACTCTAGAAGGCGAGAAAATAGGCTTAGACTTCTATAGTCGTTACTTAATAAGAGTAAGAAGAAATTATAAATCGTATAAGATAATAGTCGATAGAGTTCTATATAAGCGATAAGGTCTAGCTCGACTTAAGAAACGTACGTATAACGCGAAAGAATAAGAAGCTCGATTAGAAGAATACGAAGTATATCGTAACTAAAGTTATCGAATTATATAGCTATCGTCTTAATATACTAAAAGAAATTTATAATATATTTTATTCGAATCTATTACGTACGATATCTACGAATCTATTACCTTCGTAAGTTACCGACGATACTTAATCGAATTCTATCGTTATATAGGACGAAGAAGAATACTAAATTAAAAGAATTATTCGCTATAAATTCGTACGAAGAAGTCGAGGATCTTAAAGGTAGTACTTAGTAAAATAGACGGAATATATAGAACTAATCTAGAAACTAGAATTATTACTCTAGAATATCGTAGCTTTAGACGCGTATAAATCGATAATAGAATAGTCGGCTCTCTAATTACTATACGAAAGTAAAGAAAGAGTACGTATAAAGGAACTATAAGAATAATAAAATATTTAATTATACTATATATATTTAGCTTATTTAGTTACTATACGACGAAGCCTAACCGCTATATTAAGGTATAAGCTATAGTTAGGTATAGAAAATATTCCTTATCTACTAGAATTATACTAGTATTAATATTAGTACTATACGAGAATAAGAAAATAAAAGAAATCTTATATATACTTATCGCTAAGGAACGAGCCTTTTTATAACTACCTCGCCGAAGCGAGAAGGAGGAGAAAGAAAGAGGAGAGTCTTACGGGTAGGGAGGGAAGCGTCGTCGTTATCGAACGAATCCGACGATAATACTATAATACTACTATCGTCGTCTTTATCGCGCTTTATATAACGAAAACCTTAGTCCGACTACTTATAGTTACTATATATACTACTAAAGTATTCTAGAATACGACGATACTCTAGAAATAGGTATATTAAGCGTTTATAACGGTTATAAGGACTAAAAAGGATATTTCGGCTCTAAATAAGTAAAGCGTTAATATATAATAGCCGATACGACCGAACCTATACTAGAGTAACTACTCCTTATATAAAAGGTACGTTAGTTCCTAGTATAGCTAAAATCGTTCGTTAAGAGGTATTATAGTAGTATAGTACTAGCGACTATTCGGAGATAAGAAAAATAGAGATTTAAGTTAGCGCGAACTATTATAACTAACGCTAAGCCGTAGTAGCGTTCTATACTATTAATACTATATTATCTTAACTTTTTTACTCTTCTATTAGTACGTATAACTAAACGAAGAAGTCTAGAGCTTAGAGTATAGAAGGTAGATTTAAGAAGAGGAAATAGATTAGTTCGCTTATTTATTTACTATATCGACTATTAGCGTATAAGAATTAGTAACGACTAATAATTATACGTAATAGAAATAGAAATAAGTACTTATAAAACTTTCTCGATAATTAGTATAAGAAAAGAAAAAGTAGAATAAAAGTAAATAGAAATAAAAGTTTTATTTTATACGCTACTCGACGTCCGACTAGTTCCTATTAGAAGTAGCGGCTTTTTAGCGTCGTTCCGAAGAAAGGAGAAGAATAATATTACGAATTAAATTTATATAAAGCTCTAGAGTACGCCCTAGAGTAACTACTTATAGTATACCTTTAGGCTATATAACTATATAGTCGAAGCTACGTAATTCCTTTCTATCGATTATCTCCTAGGAAACTATACTAATCTACTATAGAAGAGGATAGAGAGTATTTTCTTTATTCGTATAGTAGATAGACTTTCTCTTTTCTTTTCCCTCCTTAGCTTTAGAATCCTCGTTATACGATAGTTAGACGAATTACTCTAAATTCCTAGCTAAACCCTTATATAATCTACGTAATACTATAAGTATTACTCTATTATTTAATTTATTCTTTTCGTCTATTCGTCCGTCTATAGATAATATAATATCGATATTTTATATTTTATTCCTAATAGGTCGGTTAATAATTACTAGAACTATAAATTAAATAGTTTATTTCTATTCGTAATAATAATCTCTAGTATTCTATATTACGCGAATACCGTTCTCGTAACTATATACGCTAGTTCTTCTACTATTAATACTTCTTTATATAGTAGTAGATAAATATATTTTATTAGTATATCGTTTATTATAAGTATACTATTACGAACTAGGTTACTAGAAGGGTCGCTAAGGATAAGCTACCTATACCTAAGGGAGATAGGAAAGTTAGTCGATAGAGGACGAGGCTACGTTACATAACTAGGAGTATAGACTATACAGGACTATAGACTATAAAGATAGTCTAGGTAAGTCTATAGTCTAGGCTAGTATTATATATATACGCTTCTTTACCTAGATAGTATAGTTCGTAGTTAACTTCGTTAGTAATTCTATACCTACGTTTTAGAATACGGTCCGATAATTATATATTCCCTTTATTATCTTAGTTAATACTTTTATACCTACTCTATTAAGGAACCCTACCTTAGTTAGAACTACTTATAGCTCGTATTATAATAGTAGGCTTATCGTAGGTAGATCTAATTAGGGATATAAGATCTCGGTTAGTATATTATTATTCCTAAAGTATACTAATATCGTGAAATTCGTAGATACTTAATGAGCGTGGCAATCGTAATAACCTACTAATTATTATATAGAGAGTATATTATATACGACACTAAGCTAGGAAGCTATATTAGACGCCTTAAAATAAGAGCGTAATCTCTTCGTTACTTCCATAGTAACAGCGGTTTATAGAGAGACCGGTTAAGTAAGTATATATAGGAATTCCTATACGGAGTACTATTAGACTTCTCCTAGCTACTCTTAACCGGGAAGCTCATTAGGCCGAGGTGGTCAGCGCATTGGTCCGTGGGAGTTCCGGACCCCGGTTGATTGTGTCGCATCCCGGGGTAGGCTAACCTTAACAAAGCACAATATTCGGATGAAACTAAGCCGATAATCTGGGACTATAGTTAGTTAGACAACTAGTTGCCGAGGCCGGTCTGTTCCATCGACAGAAGACCCTTATAAGACAGCGAACCTCAACGAGAGCTAGAAGCCGAACGCTACACTCATAAGTCACATTAAGTAAAGCCACGCCAAACCATCGCAAAATGGTAGCTGACTTCGACCAACCGGCCGCAAAGGTCATATCTCCCTTAAAGTTAGCCCATGTTGTTTTGCGAACGAACAACTTCGAGCCGATGGTGAAATACTATAAGGACTTCCTGGGAGCACATGTGATATATGAAAACAGCTTCCTGGCCTTCATGAGCTACGACGACGAACATCACCGACTGGCCATTGCCGCGGTGCCCGGCACCAAGCCTAAAGACGTCAAGACATGTGGGTTGGAACACACCGCTTTCACCTTCGACTCGCTCCACGACCTGCTTCTCTCATACCGCCAAAGAAAGTTCAAGGGCATCGAGCCGTTATGGCCGGTCAACCACGGGCCCACGACGTCCATCTACTATCGTGACCCGGACGGTAACATGATCGAGACCCAGGTGGACAACTTTGAAACTGCAGAGGAGGCCACATCGTTTATGAACTCTAAGTACTTTGCTGAAAATCCCATCGGGACCGATTTCGACCCTGAAGACCTTATCAACCGCTTGAATGCTGGCGCCAACGAGAAAGACCTCAAGGTGCGAGTGGAAATCGGGCCTCGCAGCATGCCGGATTTCGACTAAAGGACTGGATCTTTTCTTCAAGCTGCAAAGCAAGCCAAAAGCACTCCAACGTGTTGGGGAGGATGGGATAATGGCTATAGCACACAGCCATGGCAGTCAATGTTTCTAACGTTTGATTTCTTTCAATGGCTTCCACTAATTTGGGATTCCCAGACGGAGTCACAACCGATGGGATTCAAGATAGCGAATATGATCATAATGTATCTCACTTCTTGTCCGTAACCAAATCTCCGTTCCCCCAGTCGCTCTCACGCGGCATGATTCGGTCATCATAGCCTCCTATCCCGACGCTTTTCTCAGTTCTCGAAACCCAGCTTGTTCCGAGTCGTTCCCGATCCAATTCCATCTCGATAACATCACCATCCTGCATGAACGCGGCCTGCCACATGACAGTGCCAAGGCGCCACTGGAACCTGCCACCCACTCATTTACCACCCCTCGCTTGATCCTCACCCCCTCTCTCTTCCCTGTAGCTAGAAAACAATACAAGATGACTCAGTCATAGTCCTGTCACTCATTGAGAGTGGCCTTTCTCCAATCTTCGCTTGCTAAGCTATTACACAGCCACACCGCTAGGGGTTCCCGTCATGATGACAGTGCCCTTGCGCAGGGTCATGCCCCGGCTGAAGCGGCGGATGATGGCCGGGGGATCAAATATCGGATCGTCCGTCTGTTTAATCTGTGTCTACTCTCCTTTGACGATACTGCACAGCTTCAGTTTTGTGTGATCCGTGTTTATGTCGGTCGAATTGATGACCGGACCGATCGACGCGAACTTGTCAAAGGATTTCGCCGAAGGTTTGTTGCTGGATCGTTCGGGCATCTGCCACCATCTCACTAGAACGTCGCTCCCGACCATGTATCCGAGGATGTATTTATTCACGTCTGCCTCGGTCGCGACGTTCTTGCAGTCTTTGCCAATGACGACGCACAACTCGGCCTGCTCGAGAACAGTCAGTTAGCCATGGTCTATGCAACCAGCTGAACGGGATTCTCACCTCGTAGTCCATCCACTGACAATCAGGATGAATCGAACTATCATCGTAGGGTCCGGCAAGACCCTCTCATACATCAGTCAGCTAATATATCGAGTGTGCGCATGGAGCAGCGTACCAGCAGGTTTGCAATACGTCTGGGATATTTGCCGACTTTAATCTTTGAGAGATGTTTATCAGTCCCATAGTTATAGACATAGGAGACCTACAGCTTACATTCCCTTCCTCTGCATGGTTTTTGGTAGTTGAGCCCAATGCAAAGAAAGACTGGTAACGCAGGAAGAGGTGGCAAAACCTGGTCGCAATCTATCAACCAGCTGAAACCACCATTCACGATTCACAGTCTAATACCTCTGCTACCGTTTCGCTCTTGCCGTCCGCGCTGAAACCTGGATCCCACGGGGCTCCGCCAGGATATGCCAGGACTGATGCGCCGATCAAGGTATCTTTAGGGATTTCAGGCACAGCTTTGGCCTCGCCGTAGAAATCTGCCCCTGTGCATTCTTAAAACGGGTTGTGAGGTGGGAAATGAATATCCATTATTTCCAGGGTTAATATTGGCTACATAAGCTGGAGAGTTTCAACCCATTGGCTGCGAACAGAAGCGGATCGTCACCGAACCGATCTGGATAGCCACCCGATCTACGGGCTGCTGTGGAAGCACGGTGGATCTACAAGACTCGCCGCACTGGCAATGTGTTCATCCCTACAACAAGTCAACTACTATCGTAAGAGGGGTTTGACTTAGGATCGGGTGGCGTGCCATTCTTCGAACATCTCTTCGGAGCTACTTTGAGGACGCTCAGATCGTCTCACTAATTCTAACAACATCGTTTCGCTTATGCAGAGAACTCATTCGGGCATTCGGGCATTTGGGCGACTAGGTTTTTACCACGGCACTGCTCTTGATCGCCAGCAATTCCGCTTGGACTTCGCATGGAGAAGAGACTCGATTGTGCAAATTGGCCCTGGTAACGAGGAAGATCGGAAGAATAATCGAGATCGGTATGTCCTTTGAAGGCGTCTCTGCACACTTGAGTCTTTGAAATGAAGGTAAATCCACGTCCATTCGTAGTCATTCGCAGGGCCAGCCTACTCTCGCTGGAATAAGAGGAAATTGTAACCCGATCAATAAGATAAAAGTTTTGCCGGATTCCAAACACGAGATTTTCTAGCAGTAGCATTAAATTAAGTGAGAAGAATAATGTTACACTAGATCAGTCATTCGTGGTTCGTCGAGGTCAGGCCATCCGATCAATGTGGCCCATTCTTCGCCACAATCGATGTCGACATTTGACCCGTTAATCATCAAGACCTGGTTCATTCGACATTAGTATCGTACGTTCTTCGACGGGATCATCCTTCGGACGATCGAGGAACCTGGTCACTCACATCATTGAATTCGATAAGCTCGCATCGATCTTCGTCAACTTCCGGTTGGGCAGGATCTAACGATGTCGTTGGGTTGACAGGGTCCATGCAACATTGTCTAGCCTTGTTCACCCCCAAGCGGGCCAGATTAGCTGTCTGCCAGACATACGGGAATTTCCGATCTAAGATGGCGCATTCTAAATAACTCAAATGACCTGCAACCAGGTATAACAGGCGGATGTCAGAATCGACCGTGGGTGCGTGCGGATGTTGTAGGACGTATACGAAGAGATTAATCAAGGCGCTCAGTGGCGACACATAAACAAGCCTAATTAAAAATGAGATTGCTTATAGAAAGCAGAAATATAAACACAGAGTGAGTAGAATGACCAGCACTCACCATTTTGGAGACAGCGCGTTGATGGCTAGATGAGGAAGGTTGTGAATGAAATTTCTGGTCGCATTTACGTAGACTTCCATACTAGCCGCCTTCAACCGGGCGAACTCGTCGGTTTGATGGGGAGCTATTTGAAAAGCTGCGGTACTCCAGGGGTGTACCAGGATAGAATGAATGGCGACGATGCTACTGTAGTATGAGTAGTGATGGTAAACCACCTGTTCGAAATGCACGGCTGGAGGTAGAATCCGTGACGGACTACGCAGATCATCCTTGATAAAACTGGGGAGCCCATCCCACCAGCCGTTGAGTTGGCGGCTGAGGTCGGTAATCGTGTCATTAAGGTCTTGTAGGCTGGACCTGCGAAGCTTCAATGTCGCGATTCGCTGGTTGATTTGTCCCGAGATCTTTGCGTGTTCATTAGCAGCCCGAATGTTCGCCAGGTTCATCCGACAACTGGGCGGGACTTCGGCGGGCACCTGACAGGTAACATCGTTGTCGTCGATCGCCTACGTAGAGCAGGATGAGTGACAGGTATTCTCTGACCTACATGGTGGACTTACGAGTGGTCGTCCAGCCCTACTCGCATTTAGACGGTCATAGCAATAGATTGACCACCACAAAAAGCTGCGTGTCTGAACGGCAACTTTGCTGAGATTCCACGCTGCCGGAGGCTGCCTATGGAGGCCTTTGGATATTGCTAGCCTCATTGCGCTCGAACAAAGCATGTAGTCGATAGAAGGGCAGCCAATGGCCTCCACGAAAATTGCCTAAGCACATGGAGTCAGTTACGGGTGTTGCGTGTATTGCAGTCTCACCATCATCACGAGGGCCTGAACCGCCATCAAGCTGGTATGGCAATATAACAAGTCTGTGTGGACGGAAAGGGCATTCTCGAAGTACTTCCAGCTTCGCGATGAGGCTAAACTGTACCTGGCAGCCTGGGCCGACGCTCGTGTATCGACTATTCGGCAACCTGCTGCGTATACCACATGCCTGACTGCGTACCATGCGGGGTCAGGCTCAGCATTGGAAGAGCCGGAACCCTTGAAATGTGCACGTAGTAAATTCTCAAACGTGGGCTGATGAAGGATGCCGTAGGTGCTGTCACAATCTTCCTCGAAATAGGCTTTCACATAAGCCCATGCCACCACTTCTTCCGGCTCGGGTTCCCGTGATGAGGGTATGGATTTGGCTAATTTCAGAGACTGGGAGACGTCTGATATCAGGCTTCGGGCGATTTGAGTGAAATCTTCTACGCCAGTCCTTTCCGTCACCCATTCTAACCCAGACTTCGAGCAAATTGAGAGGAAGGACCCGGGTCCTTATGTAGAGTTAGCTTAGGGAGCTTAGGTCACTTTCAGGCAGCCTGGAGGATCACCATGGTATTCAAAGGTCAACTGTTTCCGGGCCCATGATTAGTCGATGTCAGGGTGAGGCAGAACATCTCTCCACATACCTCTTCTTCTGGAGGAGCAGTACTACCACCATCATCCTCGCCGGGGCTACCAAAGGCTGACTGGCCAGAGTGAGGATGACTCGGAACCGTCATTTGCTCGCTCAAATCGGTCTTATCAGGCCTTGTGGGCGTCGGAGGGACCAGGACAGAAGCCGTTGCTGGTTTCACCTGAGCGCCAATTGCCACCGAAGGAGTCCGAATTTCGGGGTGATTCAATTGGGGCTGGGGGACGGTGTCATGTACGTTCGTAGAAGTGTCGCAGTTTATCTTGTTGACCTCGTCGGAGTTTTGAATCTTCTCCATCTGCCAGGTGAAAGATCGAAATTGATCTGGTGAGTTGCCCTGGTTGGCTGCGATGGCATTATCGTTAGGTTTCGCACCTGGACCCGAAGCGTGCGATCGAGGAGTCGAAAGTAGTGCTTCTTCGACCCGAACCAGGCGGTCTTGCAAATTCTTGTACGTGCTGGCGTGGACACGCCGGCGTGAACGGCCCGAATAGATACATCGAATTTTTTGATCCTGGCGAAATCAAGTCAGAAGCTCGAGCGCCTTGAACTCGCCATCACGTGCGGCTTCATGGTATTGAACTCACAATGCAATTTGTACAAGGGTTTCCGCTATTGCCTAGGGTCGTCGAAAACGGATGTTTAGTAGGGCACGTTCTTGCGGTAGGGTCTCCCTTCCACTGGTAGAGGCTTACACTTTATCTTCTTCGTTCTGCAAAAGTCACAAGCAATAGGAGATTTGTGCTCCTGCATCTCGGAGTGAGGGTTTGACGATGGACAGACGTTCGAAGGAGCAATGTGCCGTCATGTGTGTGACTTATGCTGTCTGCTGGACATTCAATCAAGTGTGGCCAATTCGCAAGGGAAATTGTGGGCCCTGGCGTGGATTTAAAGGAAATTGTAGGTGTAGGCTTCGTAGGATGGATTCAACTAGGTTTCGTCTGTCCCTCGGATCCCCGCGGGACTCGGATCCCGAAGTGCGACCCCACTCTCCCCTTCCCTGGCCTTTCAGCCACTGAAGAGCGCCTATAAGCGATCTTTCGGGGGGGCCGGCCCCGAAGGTTTGCTGCTTAGCAAGAGCAATCCATGGTAGTCCATACAACAAAGACATCAAGATCTCGGATCAAGCTCACGGCTTGGGCACTCGTGTTCTCAGGTTGTCTCTAGCTCTCTAGCATTGTAATGTTAGACAAAAGTATCACAATCATGACCAAAATGTCAGCTGTCAGAGTAACGCCCGGGGCTTAGAATGGAGACGCCATGGTACGTACCAGCTTCCCCAGTGCTGTGCAGCGACACGTTCATGAACTTTATAAACCGCCCTCCCTCGGTATCATCTCTGGTGGAGGTTTATGGGTGTCACTTTCAAACCAATAGCAAGGGCGTCATCAAGGCACAGGGTCCATGTATGCCCAGTTGTCTTGGTAATTTGATGGCGTCGAAGCACGAGTGGAGCCGCACGCGAATGGCGTGAGGCCTCTTCTCCAACGACTGTCAATTCGGGCGTGGGCCAGTATAGGTGATATATACCATATCACCTAAACCTAAACGCGAATCGATAGCACAAAATGCGAACAAATTTCGTATGCACTATCGCACAGGGCGGTCCCCTATTAGTATTACCTCATCGCCGAAATATTATCGACTAACGATGGTACTCTCATCGGGAAGTCGAGTTACAATCCCTATTTACGATTCCTACATCTGCAACAACTCCCATAAGTCTCCGAGCCTCGATAATACCTCAGTGGTTACTAATTTATATCGAAACATATTTCTTCTTTGACTGACGTGATTTAGTAATAGCCTTGGCTTCCTTTGTCCGGAGCTTCCTCCGAACAATTTGGGCTGGACCAGCCCCACAGCACTAGTAGGGTTAAGTTATCTGAAGTTTCATCGGAGCAGCGGCAAAGCCTGCTAAAAGGTTTATTGTACCTGGGCCCCTTCATGGCACTTTTATGCTTGGAAGGTGCCCATTTTCTCTAGCTCGAATTGCCCCTTCTGGGTGTTGTTTGCCACCGTAGCCGTAAATGCAAAAGCCCCAGAACCAGTCTCAGATTCGTCCATGGTAAGTTCGACAGCCCCCGATCTCTCAGTGTCCGAATCAACGTTTCTCCGTCCTGAAATGGTGGCGAAGACACCCGCCGCTTCGGCTGGATCCTGCACTCCATCCGATCTCCATGCCACATGTCCATCTGGGCGTACGAGCACGAGGCGCCGCTCGTAGATGCTGTGGGCATGTGTCTCTTCTTTGAGCACCAAATGCTTTATAGGCATCCAGTTTTGGCACGCTGCATCGAGGAGAAGATGTGCTCCGCTTGCAGAGGTGTCGAGGAATTCCACCAGTGTGTAATTCGGCCCGAAATGGTCGAAGATAGGAGAACCATCCCTCAAAAAAACGTGAGGAGCACGATTTCCGGGAAAGGTGGTGGCTGTGTATTCGGATGGCAGCCATACCGGTTCTTTAGTGCCATCGCCTATGATTATGTTTGATTTGTATCGGTATCCCATTTCAATTCCAGAGTCAGTATTCTCGCCATCATGTTCCTGGTAGTATGCGTGCACGGTTTGCCGGAGCTTGTGTCCTTCTTCCGTCTCCGCGTCTAAGAGCTTGGCTTTGCCGGCGACCAATTTGGCGACCTCCATGTGTACTCTCATGTGTACTCCAGACCGCTCGATACAAGTCATGGCTGTGGTTCGGCGTTCCTGTTCATATGTACGCAGGATGGATGGCTGAGCGTGCCCGTTGACCACGGCAGCCATTTTCCATCCGAGTTCAAAGGCGTCGGCAATGCCCATATTCATGCCTGAATAGAGATGTCAGTGATCATCACCAATCTACCTGTGGTCAAGTTCTTACCATAGCCTCCAGTAGGAATGTTCTGATGTGCCGCATCCCCCGCAAGGTATACGTGACCATCATACCCGGAATAAGTGCGAGCGATGGCGATATTCGGTCGATATGTCGACCGGACGAGGATCTCATCGATCTTGATCTCATATTTACCATAGATACCGCCTAGAGCTCGATAGACGGCCTCCTCGGATCCAATACTCTCGGAATCTTGATCCATGGGCAACAGAAGATGGGTTGTCCATACGTCTTTCTCGTTCTGGGCTATGCAAGTCGAGACGAGGCCCGCGTCTCCAACGAAGAAAACATGCCAAAAACGCCCTTGGGCGTGGAGGCGAGTAAGATCCCGAGATGTAAAATGGATGAGGAGGACGTACACAGGCCTTCAAGCTTTAGATCAGGGCACCAGCCGCAACCACGAAGAGAAACTTACATAGGCCCACCGTCCAAGGGTATCTCTAAGCTGCGGCGGACCTGACTAGAGCCCCCGTCACACCCCACCAGGTACTGTGCCATCAATTGGCGTCGACCTCCAGAAGCGACATCCATTGTGCGAAGAAGTACACCATCCTGGATATCATCAACGCCCTCAACTTTGCACCCGAAACGGAGGTCAATGAGGGGATTTTTGTCGCAGAGCGATTTGAGCCACTTTTCGAATACTGCTTGGGAAAGTCTTTGCCACGGCTCCAAAGGCATCGTGCCATCGTTATTCGATGCTATACGTACTCGATATTCGTCAACACCAGGGTGGTACCACTGTGTGACCGGCTTTGAGGCCGACAGCCCGGTCGATATGAGCACTGGTTGGGGGAGGTGAGAAGGAACACCTGCTAACATTAGCAGACTGTATTCGGTATTGATACTTGGCCTCTACCTTTTTTGCGTAACTCGTCAGCTAGACCAATCTTGCGAAAAAGTTCCATAGATCGGATATTAGTTAAGTCCATTTTCGGCCACCTAGAATTCCAAATTAATACTGTTCTCGATTTGTAGCCGATAGTTTATACTAACTTTGTGGTAGTGTTGTTTCTTTCGAGAACTACGCTCTTAATTCCATAAAAGGCGAGGACGCTGGCAAGTGTGAGGCCAACGGGACCGCCTCCTACGATCAGGATAGTCCCGCGAGGAAGGACTTCGACCGCTGGGCATGTTTTCGACATTTCACTCAGAGCAGTAATGGGATGTCTGTTTATGATGACAGTCTATCACTCCTGCACGAATATGAGATAAACAAGAGCTTTAAATTGGCCTCTTATAGATTTAAAGGGAGGATAGCGTCGGGCACTCACTCCTTCATTTGTGGCGGAAATTTTACCATACGTGTTAACTAGACCCACGTCCACATTAGGAACCCGGGACAAACGAGGGGTTCGCAGCGCAGCGAATGGGTAGGAGCAGGGCTGTTCTTTCCGGACGGATTCAATCGATGCATGATAGGCAGCGTACCAGCCGGTGACCTACGCCCAGTCTTGTAGTTTGTTCACGTGCTAGTGCCGGGTCAGCTCCACTACACTTCAAGCCTTCCATGGTTTAGCCATGGTTTCGAGGAAAATGCGAGTTGATCGCTTTAGACCTTAGGTCCTAAGACTGAACTCATAGTCGTAGTATGCATAATCCTTAGATCAATAGTCATTGATGTTCACTTCTTTTTATTGGAAGATAGGCTACTTAATGGTTATACGGCCCGTGAGATCCGTGTGGGTGTAAGACGGCCGAAGATGTTCGAATTGCCCTTCACTTTACGCCGTGAATCAGTAAACGATCCTCCATGCGAAGATGTGTCTTCTCTTCTGGCTCGCCGAGCACCTTTCTCAATAGTAGCTGGCTCCAGAGTTCCCATTATGGTAGTAACCTCTAAGCCTTGCAGATCCTCTCATTAATTAAAGGATTATAATGCTGGAGACTTGCGCTGGACTGTCTTAATCTAATGCGGTCCACACTGAGCACAATTAAGTTTATTCGAGATCACAATGCTAGCGGAGAAGGGAGATACTGCCGAGCATGTGCTTGCATGGCATTGGTTGATTCCGCCCAAACTTACAAGTTATCTGCAAAAAGGGCATACTGGTTCTGCAGCGTTGACACAACATCGGGTTCCTCATCCACCAAGACCTATAGGGCCGGAGTCAGCGTAAGAACTAAACCAAACCGAGACGTCCTCAGAGGTCTATTCTTCTAGTGGGAAGCATACATACCGTGCTAGAAGCCGTCTAAAACCCTACCAACTTCTGCTCCGTCGCTGACCATGCTTTCTCAGGCATGACAGCTTTCATCACAGGCTTGACAAGGTCGTTCCATAGTCGCACATGTTTTGCGCCGAGCAAGGTCACAATCCTGGTCGACTAAAAATAGAAAGTACTATGTGTGTGCAATATGGTTTCTTTAACAATCTCTTGGATTCTGGCATCCGTAAAGGTGGGGTTTCGCCTCCAGCTCATCCTAAGTCCTTCTGCGCTTCACAGTAATGAGATATGCTTCGGAGTCCATAATTAGGTTCATGTGTTAAAGTTTCAGTATTGTCGAGAGATCTTTGGAATTAGTTCAGCGGTGCTCCTAAAAATCCAAGCCTACTCACCTCGATCTCCCACTTAAGGACAGGCGACATACAAACCAATTTGTGAAGAACAAGTCGTTGTGCACTTCTGTCCGATTGGTCCGGCCTTTGATGGCCGAGCCGAAGGGGTTAGACTCCCTAGTGCTCGAGCCAAAGCTAAAGTACAGCTTAACATCCATCAGCGACTCGAACTCATCTCAATTGTTAAAATAGAGTGCGACTTAGCGGGCTCTAAACTCAGTGTCATCATTGAAGGGGTACGGAGTGCGGTGTTTAGCCTTTACCGAGCAGCGACCGGAGGCCATAAGCTACTTATAACTTAATAGGTACCCAGTAGGTATTAGAATTCGTAGACTACCTAAATACTTTTTTCGCTAAATACTCTACCCATATTATTTAAGAAATTTAAGCGAATTCGAGGCGAATTACGATATTTATAATAAGGAACTACTCGCGATAGTAGAATACCTAAAAATATAGAGAGTATACCTAGAAGGAGCTAAATATCTAGTATAAATATACTCGAACTATAAGAATCTAACCTATTAAACGATAACTAAAGAACTTAATAGAAGATAGATTAAATAGGCTAAAACTCTAGCCTCTTACGATTTTAAAATTATATATATTCGAGAAATAGAGAATATTATAGTTAACGCCCTTAGTAGGAGAATAAACTATATAGAAGGACTAGAATCGAAGCTAGTAGCGTTCCTAGAGAAAGAAGAAAATTATCTAACGTATAGAAAAACGAAAATAAGAATACTTATAATATTAGAAATAGAATTAATAATAGAATAAAAATAAAAAATTATATAAGTAAAGTACGATAATAAAAGCGTAGTATAAGGGTTTAGCTAGGAATTTAGAGTAATTCGTCTAACTACTATATAACGAGGATTCTAAAGCTAAGTATTATAATCCGAGCTATAAGTAGTTCTAACTAAGGTAGGGTTTCTTAATAGAGTAGGTACTAGAGTATTAACTAAGATAATAAAGGAAATATATAATCGTCGGACTATATTCTAAAATATAGGTATAGAATTACTAACGAAGTTAACTATAAACTATACTATCTAGGTAAAGGAGCGTATATATATAATATTTAAAGTACTACTTTAGTATATTACTATATTAGAAGTAATATAGTAATATAGTAATATATTTCCTAGTTATATAATATAGCCTCGTTCTCTATCGGCTAACCTTCCTTAACTCTTCCTTAAAACGTAGGGCGCCTATCTCGGCGACCTTATTTATAACCTAGTTCGTAATACTAAGGAGAGAAAAGAAAAGAGAAAATCTATCTACTATACGAATAAAGGAAATACTCTCTACCCTCTCCTATAGTAGATTAGTATAGTTTTCTAGGAGATAATCGATAGAGAAGAGTTATATAGCTTCGGCTATATAGTTATATAGGCTAAAGGTATACTATAAGTAATTACTCTAGGGCGTACTCTAGAGCTTTATACGAATTTAATTCGTAATATTATCTTTCTCCTTTCTTCGTATAACGCTAAGAAGTCGCTATTCTTAATAGGAACTAGTCGGGCGCCGAGTAGCGTATAAAGTAAAATTCTTATCTCTACTTATTTTTATTCTACTTTTTCTTCTCTTATACTAATTATCGAGAAAGTTTTATAAGTACTTATTTCTACTCCTATTACGTATAATTATTAGTCGTTACTAACTCTCGTACGCTAATAGTCGATATAGTAAATAAGTAAGCGAATTAATTTATTTCCTTCTCTTAAATTCGCCCTCTATACTCTAAGTTCTAGACCTTTCTATTTAGTTATATATACTAATTAGAGAATAGAAAAGTTAAGATAATATAGTATTAGTAGTATAAGACGCCGCTACGACTTAGCGTTAGTTAGAATAGCTCGCGCTAACTTAAATTTCTATTTTTCTTACCTTCGAGTAGTCGCTAGTACTATACTACTATAATACTTCTTAATAAACGGTCTTAGCTATACTAGAAACTAACGTACCTTTCGTACGAGGAGTAGTTACTCTAGTATAGGTTCGGTTATATCGGCTATTATATATTAACGCCTTACTTATTTAGAGTCGAAGTATTCTTTTCGGTTCTTATAATCGTTATAAGCGCTTAATACGCCTATTTCTAGGGTATTATCGTATTCTAGAATACTTCGATAGTATATACGATAACTATAAGTAGTCGGACCGCGGTTCTCGTTATACGAAGCGTAATAAAGACGACGATAGTAGTATTATAGTATTATCGTCGAATTCGTCCGATAACGACGACGCTCTCCTCTCTATTCGTAAGACTCTCCTTTCCTCTCCTCCTCCTTTTCGCTTCGGCGAGGTAGTTATATTATAATCCGAGCTATAAGTAGTTCTAACTAAGGTAGAGTTCCTTAATAGAGTAGGTACTAGAGTATTAACTAAGATAATAAAGGGAATATTTATTCGTCGGACTATATCCTAAAATATAGGTATAGGATTACTAACGAAGTTAACTACGAACTATACTATCTAAGTAAGGGAGCGTATATATATAATACTAATAGCTCTTCTAGATCTTATAGCCCCCCTCGATCTCTTAAGATCCTATAAGATCTAAGGATTCTAGGGAATCTAGCCTTACCTAGTTACGTAATATAGCCTCGTTCTCCATCGGCTAACTTCCTTCCCTAGGTAACCTTTTAAGTAACCTAGTTCGTAATAAGTTATAAAAATACTCGCTCCTTAGCGATAGGTATATACGATATTTCTTTTATTTTCTTATTCTCGTATAGTACTAGTATTAGTATTAGTATAATCCTAGTAGATACGAAATATTCTCTATATCTAACTATAGCTTATACCTTAACGTAGCGGTTAGGCTTTACCGTACGATAACTAAATAAGCTAAATATATATAGTATAATAAAATATTTTATTACTCCTATAGTCCCTCCGTACGTACTCTTTCTTTACTCTCGTATAGTAATTAGAGAGCCGACTATTCCGCTATCGATTCGTATATATCTAAAGCTACGGTATCCTAGAGCGATAATTCTAGTTCCTAGGTTAGTTCTATATATTCCGTCTATTTTACTAAGTACTACCTCTAAGACCCTCGGCCTCTCCGTACGAATTTATAGCGAATAATCCTTTTAATCTAGTA